TACACTGCCCTATCGTCAGACAGACTGACATCAGCACAGTCACACAGATACACTGCCCTATTGTCAGACAGACACACGTGTGTGGAGAAGCACAGGAGGGAGCCACACCCTTGGCCTGCACTCACTCTGAGGCAGGTCCTCGGCTCGGTACACCCTCAGTGTGAAGTGAGCCCCTCTCAGCGCCAGCCCTGCGGGCCGCAGCAGGTTCCCCTCGATGTCTTCTCTGTCCTCCACCCCATCCTTCTTGTCCAGCTGAAACACAGGGCTCAGGCAGTCATTCACAGAAACAGAGATCTGCTCTACACTCACTGAAGACAAAGGCAAACCTTAGGGAGCCGGATAGCACTTAGTTTTTCTGTTGTAGCATTAGGGTGGTTCTGAAAATACTGAGATGGTTTTAGCTATCTAAAATTGGAATCCCAGAAAACAGCCTGTTGAACTTTAAATACAGTAGTCAAGGATTTTAAAACCCATCCTTTCCAAGTGCAATTTGCATCACTACTGACACATGTAACACGATACACTCACATTCTGAAGGAAGGTGCCTCTTGCTCATGTTCCAGTGCTGAGCTCAGATATCTGAGTGTCCAGTTAATTAACACAATTTAATGGAGACAATGACTGAGAGATAATGAATTTAGCTCATTATCCCTCAGTCATTGTCTCCATTAAATTTTCATAATTAAAAAAAAAATCTAGGAGAGAAAAATTCCTTATGGCCAACAGCCATATTGTGGCTAGGACTTATATTCACACACTCCTTCTATATTCCTTGGATAATGAACTGAAAATTGTTTGATTTTGTATATTTCTTGTAAAAGAACAGTGTCAACAGGGAGATCGAGTTCAGGATGAGCAGCACCGGAAGACTAGTGACTTAAAACAGACTCAGACTCACCGGAGCCTCATCGCCAACCCCCAGCACAAACAGGCTGACTTTCAGGTAGCCTTTGGCCCCTGCAGAGATGTCATCGGGGTCAGAGAGCAGGAGCCACTTCCTGAGGAATGCATGCTCTGACAGACAGACACAAGGAGACGTGCAGTCTGGATTAGATATCTTCACCTGACAGCCCTGATGAATTCAGATGCATGCCCTTAGTTATTAAAACACTAGGCAATAACTTTAAGTTCGAATAAACAGACTCTGGAAGTGGCTCATATGCATGTAACAATGATTAATCGCTGGGAAATGCAAAAGGAACTGATTAGCAGTAGCAGATATTGTACAGTGCTTTGCAAAAGCATTCAAACCCTCATGACTTCTTTCTTTTTGTTCTTTGCGTTAAATGTGTAGAGTAGGTTGTTTAGCGAGTATTAATTACTAATTCAAAGTGTAAAGACTGGAGGCTTTAAAGCAACACAAGGTGAAACTTGTGCTATGTTCAGAACACTTTCACTAGGCATTGAAAAGACAACATGACATCAGACATCAGCTGAGAGCTAACCCAGAGTATCTCTGTCACTATAACATCAGCAAGGAAAAGAAGTATTGTACTTACTGGGTTCTGCATAGATTGTGCCCACATCAAGCTAAGAATCAACAAAAATGTGATTAGACAGAGGATCTTTTCCTAGTAACCAAAATCAAAACTTGTGAAAATAGAATCATATATTAAAGAAAATGAAATGGTAAATCATGATTATATGTCATATGTTTTGTAGTAGTAAATAAGTATTGCTGACCCCAAACAACTTCTGAAATGCCTTTCCTGAAGCTTACATCCGGAAGTAAAAAGCCAGTTACCAGTGTGTACATTTGCTCTTTAAACAATGACTGGATTTTGCTGCATTAAAGTCTGAATTTCCCTTTTCTTCTATAATATGATTGAAACACCAGCATCGATAAGTTCCTGTGTCAGTCTGCAGGATTGCCAGTGTATGTCTGTGTCTGTCCTGCCTTGTGCTCATTTGACAATTGGTGTGTGCATCTGGAACCAAGGGCCAGGTGAGACCCTGCTGTTGTAATCTTGAGTAAAGTATGTCACCTGAATTAATTCCAGGAAATTATCTGGCTATACAAATGGGTGTAAATGCAATTTGCTTTGGATAAAAAACATCAACAAAATAATTGAGTTAGTGATTTACACAGTTGATGCATTTATCTAATGTAAGCTATATTTTAGCTCACTTCGGTAAGGAGTTGTTTTATTGGATCAGCCTGAATGAAAGTCCAGTTGAACAACAGCAGGTCCCTGCCTGGAACCTGCAACCTTCCAGTCAGGGGTCCAGAGCTCCAACACGTATAGCACTAGCTCAGTGTGGAGTGACACTGTGATTATTCAACATTCAGGTACTGTATATCCCCATTTCCCCTGAGATGCGGGCTCATCCTGAGCACTGCCTCCTGAAACATCGTCCTGATGCAATAATAATATTTTATTGGAATAAAACTGCATCAAAAACCTGCATGTGCTCTGTGTAGTTAAACATGCAAAAATTTAAGAATTAGATACAATGAGCAGGTCGGTTTAACTACTGCATCACAAACTGTGTGAGATCATTTACTGTACAGCCTTTACATAAGTTGTAGAAATCCTCTTAAGGGTAATGGAGCTGAGGAAAAGGTGTCTTACCTTGAATTCCCCAATTACAGAGTCATTACGAAGAGATCGAGAGTCAAAAACCTGGGCAGAGAGAAGGAGCTTTAATATTTCATGAAAATCTTCACTATACATTATTGAAATGGCTCTGAGTAGCTAGACTAGATTTAATGCAGTTTATTAGAGTCAATTCCAAAACCAAGACCTCAGTGAAGGTAGACAGAGCAGCTCAACCTTCTGAAGGTTTTTTTCATCAGAATCAGAAAGCAAAGTTTCAGAGGGTGACAAAGTTTTGTGTGGGAAAACAGGTGTCAGGGACTAGACTGACTTACTGTAACAGTAGCTTTACATGGCCAGTGGTTATGTGTGTTTCCTCATTCTAATCAAAGTCAAGCACAGAAGGTGCCTGTCTACGGGCTTGAAGGAAACAGTTTGCAGAGATGCCACTGACATACCAAACAGTAAAGGATTGGACGTGGAGGGGTGTGGCGGGGCAGAGCCAGGGTGAACCAGACCTGGGCCAGAGAGGGCGGGGCCCCAGGACACCTGGCCATCAGCACACAGTCAGTTCGTTAATTAACCCCAAAACATGTGCTCTGCCTGCATCCGGGACATCTCCATGACCCCCTGCTCCCGATAATGAGCCCTGAAGGAGCTTTCTAAGCCTCAGGCAGGATGACTCAGGGCAGAGAGCCGAGAGCAGACCATGGGGCACAAACACTACATCACTGGGCACAGAAGAGGGATCAGACACCACAGGGGGCGGTAGAGGAAGGCTCTAGCATTGTCTTCCTCCCTTCCTCCCTGAGACTGGACTTGGAGAAGACAGGGTAGGGGGACATAAGGGACCACATTGTTCTAGTTGTCTGGGACTGAGGATGATATCTAAAACCACTGAAAGCTTACACAGAGTTTCTTAGCTATGGTGGAAGGAGATCATAATTCATAACACTTATATAGCACTTTTCTGGACACTCCACTCAAAGCGCTTTACAGATAATGGGGATCCCCTCCACCACCACGAGTGTGCAGCCCCACCTGGATGATGCACAGCAGCCCAAATTGTGCCAGATCGCTCCCTACACACCAGCTCTCAGTGGGGAGGAGAGCAGTGAAGCCAGTTCAGAGAAGGGGATTATTAAGAGCCCATGATTGGTAAAGGCCACGGGGAAAAAAGATCACTTTATTGCCATATACAATTTCTTGCACTAGGAATTTGTCTTTTTGCATACCCAAATTTACTCTCCATGAGACACACAGACTGGGAGAGAACTTGGGGGTCAGAGCACAGGGTCAGCCATTGGACAGCACCCCTGGAGCAGTTGGGGTGAAGGGCCTTGCTCAGGGGCCCAACGGAGTAGGATTCCTCTACCAGCTGTGGGATACGAAACAGTAAACCTTCCAGCCACAGACACAGATCCTGAGCCACAGAGTCACTGCACAGCCCCGCAAATGTGGCCAGGACACAGACTGCAGGGTGAGCGCCCCCTACTGGCCCCACTAACACCTCTTCTGGCAGCAGCCTGAGCTTTCCCAGGTCTCCCATCCAGGTGCTGGTCTATGACCACTGAAGGCATACACAGCTATGGTGGAAGGAGGCATGCCATGGTACCAGGTGTTTGGGGTAACTTGGTCTAGGGTAACTGGGGTCTTTGAGGGTGCTTCTGTGAGTGCGAGTGTCCCTTGTGGATACGTTGTGTCATGTGTTCTGTGTTTTAGGCAGGCAGTGATAGACATGGTAACTGCTTGATTGTTAGAGGAATCAAGAGGACCATACTGATGTCCAATGCTGGTCAGTGGGGGGCAGTGGTGGTTCTGGGGATTTAAACAAGATGTTTCGGGGGAATTGGGGTCCTACCACCCTTGCAGTGGCGTGTGTGGAGGAGGTGGCGTAGTCGGTAAAGTTAAAGTAGCCTGCATTTTGAAATTCGTTTTGAAATCCATATTTGTCCGTGACAACTACAGCCGAGTATATGCACACACTGCAATGGGCGTACTCACGGTGAGAAAAACCGGTTCGTCGAAGAGCTCCGACGGAGACTCGAAGAAGTTAAAGAAAAACGTCTGTGGAAAAAAAAAAAGGAGAAAAACACATGAGAGGCGTAACCCACGGTCTCCCGTGCAGTAGGCTGAAATATAACCGAACGGGCATTCTGGCAGCGAGACCACATGGAGTGACAGTATTTACACGGAGATGATGTGCTTTGTACGCTGTTAGAAGAAAGCACCCCACAGCCGCCCGGGTACCCGAGTGTCTCCTCTCCCACCTGGCAGTCCACGCGTGTCTCCCGCGCCAGGCGAAGAGCTTGCATGTGTGTGGGGGGGCAAGAGTTCATCCCATAAACACGCGAGAGTGTTGTAAATTATTATTAACTCCGTGCATTTTCACTTCGAATCCCACATTGCACCTGAAAACACAGGAAACTGCTAGTGGAGCACCCCCGAGCCGGTTTTCATCCGTGGCAATCTGTAAACAGCTGGGCAGGGCAGTTAAAGCTTTCAATGTAAACGGTTTAATTTCGTTCAGACGCTCATGAGGTTTATTAGTGCAGATAGATTTCCCTTCTAATGACATGATCCATCCAGCTGTTTCGGGCTTTTACTAAGTCCCATTCTGTAGTTATTTGGACAGGTGCAACGCAACAACCTTTACAGCTCACTTACAGCCGCCCAACAGTGTGCTTGAACAGTCGCGCTCAGACAAGAGGTCACCGGGCGCAGCAGGCATGTCCTCTCCCAGTACCATATTCTTGTCCACAAGCTCTCCGAGTATGAAAACTGCTATTCCCCCGCTTTCAGGAGAAACCTTTTGTAGAAACCCTTCCGCATGGCTTATTTGCATACGAGCCCCTGCCTTTTTCTTCCACTTACAGGATGTCGGTGGACAGAGGGACCTCATGCAAGGACACCTGACAGGGGACCGGGGGCCCGTGTTTTTACACAGCTCCAGTAGCATGCCCGGAGCAACAGTGAAACACACCCATGCGGGCTCCTCTGTTAACACAGGGGTCCGTCTCCTCACCTCGTCAAAGTGCGGATTGTTGCCCTTGCGGATTCTCGTGCGCTTGGTCTGTCCGGCCACGGTCACCTTGACGACGGGCTTGATGTTGACCCCGGGAAGCTGCCGCCCCTCGATGACCCGAGCGCGGATCTGCAGGAGCACAGGCAGGAAAAAGCTCCACCTCAAAGAGAAACCCAAAGTGTAGCTCATGGTTTCACGGACCTGTTCTGTCTGGGTCTTATTTCTTTCAGGGATTGTAGGACTCCTACTCCAGAAATACATGAGAAACCAAGATTATTCTTGCAAAAGACTTTTCCGAACACTTTTTTGGTTTTCCGAACTCATACATCAGAAAGACTATCGAAACCAAATATCCTGCAGCTATGATCACACCTTCCCCCTTCTCTTAACGACAGACTACTGTTCTACTAAATTTTCTCCATTCATTGGAAGTTTCATTTCACACCTTTCTACATATATCCTGACTTCACACCTCTTGATTGGCCTCTCTTTCTGTCCCCTGCTCCTGCCTCTAACCCCTCCTGAACTACTACTTAAAAAATAATTCATTGCAGTTATAGGTTTATAGGAATAGGAAATGTACCCGCCAAATAGGAATGTACCCGTGTGCTCATTCCTGAGAAAACAATGTTAATCTGTCAAGGTTTACGTAGGACTGTGTTTGAATTTGAGAAATGGGAGTTAGCCCCATTCTTGTCCTGTAGATAGCTTCCTCAGCCCCCACCGCAGAGTGAGCAAGACTCAATGAGAGAATCAGAGCTCAAAAATGGAATCAGAGGATAAGAAGATTCTTGTTGTGGAGTTATGACATCACAACATCTCATGTGCACATACACAAATTATTGCAGAAAGTTCCCAAAGTTAACAAATTTCATCTTATCATCCGAAGCATCTGACATTTAAACTAAAACATAATTTCTTATGTTTTAATATGGAATTATATTTTGCCAAGCTAAAGAAAACCATAAATTAGACAATGTAGGGATTAGACTCTAAAAGTTCCTGTGCTTCTCTGTCTTCTTGTGTCCGGCCAGATTGCCCTCTGGTCTGCCTGAGGTCTTCTTTGCTCAGATTTGGGGGTTTGTGTCCTGACCCTGACCTGGAAATCCTGGGGTTTGTTGGACAGCGGCTGTTTGGTGGCACGCTTCTTTCTTTTGAGCCCCTGGACAGCGTTTGGGGGGGCTTTCTTGGGGGGTGCGATGGAGGGTTCCTGCCCGGGGGTCCCAGGAGCTGGCTCCGGCTCCTCGGTGCTCTCGGCCTGGTCCTCTGTGTCCTCCTCGCCGGCGGTGTCTGAGGGGAGACAGAGACATCCCTGAGTCGCCCCCCTACCTCAGCACGGCTGCCAGAATCGCTTCAGACTGGGAAACAATGGACACTTCCTGTCTTATCAGCAACGTGTGAAATGGATCGGTGCCGAGCTGTAATGTGTGTTTTTTTCCCTCAGGGGAATACAGTGCAGTTCTCTCCCAGTGACTGGCTAGCCCACAGCGACAGAGCTGAGCCCCATTGAAACCGTGTGGGCCACACTGACATTACCTCTTTGAAAAGTGTTCTGAGCAACCCTGATTCCCAGGGCTGGCGGGGCTCATCGCGTTCACGGACGCTGTGGAAGACACAACCTTGCACAGAACCGCTCCGTGCCCCGTGCATGGGTCGAAGCAGAGCCTGTTACACGTGGACCCCTGTGCAGCCTGGCAGCAGCAGCTCTGAGACACCAGGCCTGCGCCTGCCACGCCTCGCTGCGCTTGCCCCTCACTGTGCCCATTGTCAAACACACGCCGAGCTTTTCCCACAGGAACAATCTCTATGGATCACAATCATGTGGAACACAGTACCACTGTGTTTCTGTAAAAGAAATGCATTTGAAAGCAGGGAGCTGCAGTCTTTCTGCACCTGTTATTCCACAGTGAGAAGTCGAGTGTCTTCTTTTCCATGTTTGAGTTCACCCTCTTTCTTTTTGTCAATCCTTATTACAGCCACAAGGTATTTTAGAGGCTGCCTGGTAGTCATGTGTCTTGATGCGCCATTCATAAAAAGACCTAACAAGTGCTGGAAAACCCCTCTAAAGGTCTGGCTAAACATTTACTACCTTTCATCACCAAACTCAGTGATTATAGACTTTGTGCTGCTTTTATAACACATTTTATAACAAGAAATCCCCAAAAAAGGAGCTGCTTTTTTTATAAATGACATCATTATCACCACCATAAAAGTAGCATTGAAAGTTTTAGAAACAGAAACTGTCCATTTATACAGTGCTTTTGCATCTGAGAACAATGTAACCTGTGCTAATGTACAGGCTATTAAGTCTTGAAGGACAGGAGCTGCACGAGCCGACCGTTACCTCTGCCGGGAGCCCTTACCAGTCACAGTGTCCAGCTCAGACGGGGCGTGCTGGGCCTCGGGGGCAGCCGGAGGGGGGAAGGCAGGAGCCGCTCCTGGGGGAGGGATGTAGGAAACTTGCAGGACCAGTGTGGCCTGCAGGAGAGAGAGGTGAGATGTGAGAGGTGGACTGCAGAGACAGAGGGAGCCCAGAGAGATGGGAGACAGGTAGGGAACCATTAGAGGAGAGTAGCGTAGTGTCAACACAGCCAGGTAAAAAGCAAAGGAATCCGGGGTTTAACAGGCCAGTTTGCGTAAAAGTGGTAGAGAGGCAGAAAGAGAGTGAAGTCAAGGTAACGATTTTCTGTGGTTGCGATTTCTGGTCCTGTTTCAACTTCACTCCAGCTTTTTTTGTGGAAGTTGGTCCATGTATCATTTAAGCTTCTACCATCTCTGCATGTGAAACAACAATGATCACCTCAGGACTGAAAAAACTGAACTATTATGTTTATACTGGGTATATTTGGGTGCCATGGTGGCTCTGTGGCTAAGGATCTGTGGCTATGACTGGAAGATTGGAGGGTCAAATCCTGTGGCTGGCAGAGGAATCCTACTCCATTGGCCCCCTGAGCAAGGCCCTTCACCCCAACTGCTCCAGGGGTGCTGTACAATGGCTGACCCTGCACTCTGACCCCAAGCTTTTCTCCCTGTCTGTGTCTGTGTCTCCTTGGAGAAAAAGCTGGGCTATGTGAAAAGATGAATTCCTAATGCAAGAAATTGTATAGGGCTAATAAAGAAACACTGTTATTACATTACATTATTTCTCTATGAATAGAGCAGTTGAATCAGGCAGACCTCCTGTTTTCTATGTGCATGTCTCCATCTAACAGGAGACAGCTGTGATATACTGGGCATCTATTAGGAGGAGTATCACCCTGGTGCTATCCTGATGTCAATCATTTCTTAAACCAGCTTCAGAAATGTCCCATTTCTCACAGTTGAATTTTCAGGAACATTTTTGTAGTCTTAATTTATTTAGAGCCACACAAAGGGTACTGTATATCTTTGGACAGTCAACAGCACTAAATGTCTGCGTCTTGGCAACAGCCGTGTGGTTTAGATATCATTGCAACACTGAAACTCCGAGGTGCCAAAATGAGTTCGTGCATTTAATTACTTTAATTATTTTTCCTTTATTGATTTATTGACACCTGCAACCTGTTGCAGGATTGTGGGTGTCAGAAACTGAACATGAGAACATAAGAAAAGTTACAAATCAGTGCTGACCACTCCTCATTCCCCTCTTCTTCACTCAGTTACTAGTAGTTAATTGATCTGAGACTAGACTAGTTTTAGAAGTGCAAGAGTTGTGATTTCCTTCTGAGCAGCATGTGACAGGGCTGCGGCTACTGAGACGCTGTGCTGGAATCCAGCTAGATCTCGCTGCAGCAGTAACTGTCATGCCCTGACAGGAGGACTGCTCACTCTCTGTTTCAGGAAGTCCACAAAGTTCACAGGCTGACATTAATTTGTGTCTGGCGCCAGGAGTACACCTGGACGCTGAAACAATCTTCCTGAGGAAGTGAGGTAGAGTCCAGAACCAGTCGATCTGCCTGTGTTTATCCATGAGATGAACTTCCACCCCACAATAACACAATACTGAACTGCGTCTCACAGCTCCTCCCTCCTGTTTTTGCCATTTTAATCCCAAAACCCAAGAGTGCCAACGAGACAATGTGAGGAAGCCACCCAGAGGACTAACAATACACTTTGGCATATGATCCCACAGTGATAAATATAAATCCAGAGAGGATGTGAGACAGTGTCGTAGTTTTATAACAGATCAGGGCAACCCTGCCAGAAAGAGTGTTTAGTCTGGGTGTGCCCACCAGAAAAGAGACATTTCTGCTCTGGAACGAAGCCAGGGGGCAGGAGCAGAGCAATGTTATATTGTGGAAGTCGGATGTGATGTACAGGTAGACGTTATGAGAACTTGCTGTTTTTAGCCTGTTGGAAAATAGACGGAGAGGCATCAGCAGAGGTTTGCATGACCGAGTTGTACTACAGCTGCATGTTCTTCGCGCCTGTCCAGCAGGAAGGGAAAAGCAGTGTGTTCATGGATGACAGATTTGGATTTACAACACACTGGCAATGTCAAAGCATGGAGGTGAAAAACGGGGTAATGCAGTGACCACTGAGGCTGGGAGTGGTCAGTTATAGTCCCTTTTGTCTACATTCTCCCTCTGCGTTTTCATACCAACTCGGGGCGTCTTAATTAATCAAGCAAATTATTGACTTAATTCAAAGAATTGACCTTTTTCTCCCTGACCTGAAACAGCCCCTTTGATAAGGATACTCCAACAGAGACACCGTGTCTCAGACAGATGTGACTACAGTGAAATTGCAGCAAGTTGTGGGTTCATATCCAGGCTGGCATTTGTTGTTCCCTTGAAAAAAGTGCTTCACTCTGATTGCTTCAGTAAAAATGCTCAGCTGTATTAATGGGTACAGGTGGAAGCTGCGTTGAATAACAGCATCAGCCAAGTACATACAGTAGATACAGTATATGCATGATGCATGATGTGCATGTGTAGTCTGTGTGGCAGTGCTTGCCAACAGCTGGGGAAACGGGGAGCTCTGTCCAGTTGCAGTACCTGAGGTCTTGCCTGCCTTGCAGTGACTCACCCCTATGTTGTTTTTCTTGTTGTCCATCAGGGCTACGTTGTAGCTGGCAGCCAAGCTGGGCGAGTGGAGGACGTCCCTCAGGGCCACCCGCGCCTCCCCCAGGAACCTGCAGGAACAGGCACAGGCACTGAGACAGACGCACACAGCGCCGGGTCGGTCCGCGCAGGCAGCACAGAGCCCCTGCCACAGGCTGCGCCGGAGCTGCTGGTGCAGAGATGCTTGCACCTCATTCCCAAACCTCCAAGTCATTCCTTCGCTGGGCAACACCACATTGCACACAAAATGCATTTCCTGTGGATCATTCTCTTACTGAATTATTGATATACAGTATTTATATTTTGTGTTTGTTCTTGGATCATTCTTGTGGAAGATGAAGCAGTCAGAGAAGAGAAGTAGAAGCAATTAAGTTTCCTCCATAATTAAAACATGTTCACCTACTTCACCGTGAGTTTTAGAGACACGCTTTCGAGAAGCTGGTCGAGAAGGAAGATAAAGAAGATAGAGGAAAGGAACAGTTTTCATTTTAGATCACGCGAGTGACAAGTTTTCAGCTTTCAACAGCAGGATGTTGTTGGGTTCAACCTATTCATTTCTATAAATTGCTTTTGATTACTTCCGAAATTCTCAGGGCTTTGACTCAATTTGTGTTTCTCTTTTTCCCTTCTGAGTTGTTTGTGTGGAAGAGCATTACCACACTTGCGGGTCGTATTCAATTTGCAATCAGCCTTAGAAAATAAACCAGAAGAGGAGATATTACTGGCATTTAAGATAATTGTTACACAGCTTAAAAGGAAACTGTAAAAACAACACCAGTACAAATTTTCCCCTTTAAACAGACAAAAGTAGATATGCATTTTAGTTAATTTCCTTATTTTGAAAATAAACTGCATGTTAATGTTTTTCCTAAGAGTTTGCAGATGTTTAAAAGCAGCTCTGACAGAATAGGCAGGAGTCCACACAGTGCGAGGGTAAACACCCCTCCTTCTGATTTAAATAAGTGCCAGCTCATGTGTTTTGTGATTAACAGTTTATTATTTTTGAAAAAGGAACAGAAAATATGAAAACAACAGACATACTAGGAACTATTTATATAGCTCATACTCACAGTAAATGTAAATGTAAAATTACTGTTATTTAATTACTCAGTCCAATAAACACTTACGTAAGAGAGCAGAAACAGACCCCAGTGGGTCTGTACTGTGCTGTATGTACTGCAGGTCCACACCATTCACTCTGGCAGCGGATCGCTGGAGTTTAACCGCAGTGTGTCTCCAACCACAATTAGCCAGCAATGTGCCCACAATGGGTTCAAACAAGAGTTTAAGAATAGTTTTGTTCATGGCTAATAAGCACACCAGTAAAGGTTTCTGTTGCATTGCATTAAAACTACTTGCTGAATAATCATTAAGAAGAAACAGGGACTGGGTCTCAGCCTTCACTCAGATAACTGTGAGAGCACACTAGCTACAGTACTTCTTTCCAAAACTGCCTGTTTGCATTAGAGGACAGGCACATCTCATACCATTTTTATATCAAGACAGACACTATAAAATATCAACATTGATGGTTTCGAGGGAGAAAGTGAAAGTTTGATTTAAAAAACCATTACAGTTGGGATACTTTTTGTAACAAAGGTACTCCTTTTCATTCTGACATACCCATGCATCCATTTTCGAACTGCTTTTTCTAGTTCAGGCTTATGGATGAGTCTATCCAGTAAGCAACAGGTGCAAGGCAGGGCATATCCTGGACGGGATACCAGTCCATCCCAGATCCCAGTACAGAAAGACACAAACACAAATACTCACACCAGGGCCAATTTTCCCAGAAGCCAATAATCTACAGTATGTCTTCAGACGGTGGGAGGAAATGCAGGTGAAAACAGGGAGAACATACTAACTCTGTGGTTATCTGTTTCACTGGTTAAAGTTAATCATGTCATGCTGTTAAGACTTAATAAGGAAGAAACAGCTGTCTGTGGCTGATAACTGACTTTATGTGTACAAAAGGGAGGATTACAAGTTGAAAGGCAACAAAGCATTGCAATATGACAAGAGGTATTTAATATTCACATCCACAATTCTTATCAAAATTATAAATCAGTTTATATTCATCTTTACATACTGTGTATTAAGTATGGCTGTAATACCATGAAATAATAATGCAGAAACTATCAAGTCAAATCAGAAGCGTGTTACATGCAGCCTGTGTGAAGTTTTTTGACATGTCCACAGATGAAAGCGCAGAGCCCCTAGCTGTGAGCTCCCAGCCCAGAGGGGAGAGAGGAAGGCTCTGGGCCTCAGGAAGACAGACCCCTCGACAAGGGGAGGAGCAGTGTGTGCCACCGAGGTGACTCACTCCCCCGGCTTCCTGTCAGGCTGCGCTTGCAGTGTCCACAGCTGGCCTGCTTCAATCCCAGCGGCTGCTGCTTCGCTTTGCTGAGATTTGTTTTATTTAAAAAATCCCCCAGAGAGCCTGCAGACGTTTTCAGGCCCATCTTAAAACAGCTCAGATCCTATTCAATCACAGACATTTCCAGAGAATGTTACTAAGAGGGGGGTGTTTTTGTATTTCAGAAGAATGTTGAAATACCACATGAGTGAGTCAGTCTGCCCAAATCATTTAATGCCTAAGTGGACAAGGCCAGAGAGTAAGAAGTGATGCTCAATGTGCTCAAACCTCCAGGACGTTTTGCTCAAGTACAAAATTTGTCTCAACATTCTCAACTCCACATAACCTGCAACAAATTTATGGAAACCATGTTTACTCCAAAAACCACCTGCCAGCATAATTTCTGTTTGCTCACCTTTCATTGGCTCTTTCAGAATTTCTGGTTGTATCATCTTTTACAATCGCTTTCAGAAAAGAGAGGGAAGTTCTGCTCTGGAGCAAAACCTGTAAACATCCCCCTGAGTGCAGGCAGCAGGTTCAATACACTGGCAGGACAAGAGACTAAGACAGAGGAGAACCACACAGCCGCCAGCCGCCAGCCGCCAGCCGCCAGCCCTCAGCTCCAGAACCAGCCTGATGTGCTGGGCTGACCAGACTGCTGACCAGCTGTGCTCACGATGCTGAAGAGAGCACCAGCTGGAGAAGTGTGAACAAGCTGAGTAAGAAGCAGACATGGAAATAACTGACCCTTGGAGGAGATGGCTCACAGCACCTGATGCTGCTGCAGTTAATGTGTCATTCTCATTCATTGAGTCGAGACTGTAAGCTGTCCCTGGATCAAATTGCAATGCATTTACCCTTCTGCTAAATACTTCCCAGAGTGACTGGAGCACTGAGCTTTTCCTGAATGGAAACTGTCAGAAGTTGAATGTCCACAGGAGTGTTCTGGGGAAGTGCAATTTTTCTTTCATTATCAGGAACCGGGAACATGACTTCAGGGAGCTTGAGACACTGTCTCTGTCCAGCATTCCCCTGCTGATCTCTCGGAAGCAGAAAGTGCTTTTCTGTTGATTGACACCAAGTAGCCCAACAGCATGGTTACTGTAGTAACTATAACACGTATATAGTTTACTCAGCTCCACAGCTGGCCATGTTACTGCTAAGGCCTCGTGTACAACACTGTATACAATGTTCATCACAGCTATAGACTGCTCTGCAATCGCTCCAGAGAGGAGCAACCAAACAGGTCCTGGGGCTTAAGGGAAATCCAGCAATGAAGGGCTGAAGGAATTCAACACTTTTAGTTTTATATGAAGAAGGCTATGAGGGGAATCTGCTACAGTATTCAAAATACTCAAAGTCTGCAACAAAGTCTGCCTAATCGACTTCAGAATGAACAGTGAAACACAGACCAGGAGGCACTACGTTACTCAAAGAGTTGTGGGTGTCTGGAACAAGCTACCCAATCATGTTGTTCAAAACAATGCTCTTAACTCTTTCAAGAAACATCTGAATAAGATACTAATATCAGCATACTACTAAACAGGGAGATAGACCAAACATCCTGCTCTTGCTTGTTACTGTTCTTCTCTTCTTGTTTCCTTAATGTCTTTGAGAGGAAGTCAGTTTTTACCCTCCTATTGCTCCAGTGCCTCAGAACTCCTGTCAGCATCACTCAGGCACATGGTGTGGATTCAAACCTGCAGGCTCAGGGCTGTAGCATTCTGTCCATCGTGTGGCCAGACACTCTGCATCAGCCACTCAGGAGCCACGTCCCTCAAAGACGTCAGGGTCTCGGGGGCTCATCAAAACCTATAACCCCATATCATGCGATACCTTGTGTGAACAAAGCTGTATGGATAGTTTAAGGACCTTCCTCGAGGAGGTGACTCCTCCTCTGTCTCTCAGGCAGCCACATCTTGAGCTGAAGGTGTTTTCTTGGTTTCAGCCGGCTGCAGGAGACAATGGGCTTGCGCTCGGCACCAGTGCGCTTGGCACTAATGGCTGCAGCTCCGGTGACACACAGTTTTGGAACAATGCATCCTGGTGATGTTTACCACTAGGCACTTCCTAAAGGGGCTTTTCCCGTTTATGTTGGCCTGATTTTCCTGATACACTGAGAGGGGGACTTGGGAAACAAAGCAACGCATCATTAAAGCAGAGTTAAAAATAATAAACCACATCAAATAATAAACTGAAGGGATGGAGTGATTGTTGGTGTTGATGGGGATCTGTAAAGCACAGAGAGACTGGACCCAGGAAGATAATTAAAGTGGAAGCAGATTTTCAAGCTTCTTACTAAAGAAAAATAAATAAACTATAAAAGTTCATTATTGGTAGAGGTTTCTGCCATGATAGAAAGCACAGGATGTCTGGAGCTGTTGATGATCCCGTGTGCAAAAATGTAGCTTCCATTCTTAGAACGGAAACTTAATTTAGACAATGCAGGTATGGTCACATTCACAGTACGTGTGTCATTTTTCTGAAAAAAGGAAAATGTGGAAAAAATAAAGAACGTGGAATATTAATATTATGACCACTGTCTAGAGCCTCCTCAAGATCCAGCCAGCTAGATAGCAAGGAGATCACACACTCTGAGCTGGCCAGCGGCCTATAATCTCACCACATCAGTGGGACTTCATGTTTCCTCCCAAGGCAGACCACAGACATCATGTACCTTTGTTTTCATTTGTAACTCTGTGTGTTGTCAATTCA